CCCAGGCTGGCTCTACTTGCAGGAAGCCCTGGGAGGAATCAAATGCCCAGCCGTTGGCTCCGTAGCCAGAGACTTAAGCCAGTGAGCTATCTAACCAGCTAAAATTAAGGTAAATTCAGATCTGAGGTGGGAGCCAGGAGAGAACTTGCCCCTGGGTATCCCTGTGTCCCAGGGCCTTCCAAATCATCATGCATGGTTGAAGTGAGAAAAGCTGAAGTGTCATCGTGGCTTTAGTGAGAAAAAGATACTTATTTTCTTCTTCTAGAGAGACAACGTAGTCCACAATTTCAGAGCAGGGAAGATCTGGGTCCTCATCTGCACTGCTTTGCTGGCAAGAGGGATTGACTTCAAAGGGGTGAATATGGTTATCAATTTTGACTTCCCAAGCAGTGCCGTGGAATACATCCACCGGATAGGTGAGTTTGGGCTGTGTGTTCCAACCTGTTGTTTCGTTATTTTGTCCCATGACTCTGGTGAACATGATGGTGAAGGTCAGGCCTGGCACAGATGAAGCTTTGTGGTTGATCTCCTGCTGGCATGGCTAGAACAGTCCTAGTTTTATGTCTAGAATCCATTTTAACAGAGATGCATAGGATCTACAGTCATCTGGTAGGTTTTCAGACCCATGCGTGCCACGCATCCACAGGAGCGCAGGCTATGACATTTGGTACAGACTTTAGTTTTCATTCAAAATGGATAAACAAAGCAAAAATAATTGTCAAGAACGGCTTCAAGCTTAAATATTTTTGGCCCCATTGAACACTGAGTGCACCTCCTAAGAACATTTCTAAAACTAAACTTGTCAGCCTGGGTATAGATCTTGCTAATGATTTAATCACAGCAAACAATGACTTCCCATTTATACTGACACTTTAAGTTATGCAAGACTTTACTGTTTTAGTACAGGAATATCTTATAGCTCATGAAGAGGATTCTGGCCATTGTTTATAACAGACTGGTGGATGGAGAAGAGTATATGTGTTTTTTGACTATCCTCCATAACAGGTCGCACGGGGAGAGCAGGTCACTCAGGCAAAGCCGTTACTTTCTTCACAGAAGACGACAAGCCATTACTGCGAAGGTATTTTATTTCTTTTATTTATCTCCTCTGCTGCTCAGCAACTATTGTAACCATGTTGGCCTTTGGTCAGCAACTGGATTTTTAAGCAAGGCCCGAAGACCCTGTCATATCGGGTTTTGCGGCTATCTACCTTGTTCTCCCTTCGCGGTTGGTGCACTGGAATGGACGGCGTTTTAAGAATGAAAACACTCGGTGAAGAGATTTGCTTCTCTTCCTGTCCACCTGCTGGAGAACAGGGGCCGTAAAGAGCCGTTGGCTCATGCCTTAATTTGGGCGCCAGCGGTTGGGAGTCTAGTAGAAAGTGCGTGCGAAGGAGGCATGATGGAGAAGAGACAGTGTGGTAGGTCCCCCCCCCTTCTCAGCTATTTGTCATTAATCTAGGATCTAGGTCTTTGCAAGAGCCTGGATGGGCGACAGAGCTGTGCTTGAAAGAGCCTCCTTTTGACCGCTCTCCCTTCTTCTCCTCTTCATCTCCTTCTCCATCCCTTGTTTTCTTTCCTTACAGTATAGCCAGCGTTATTGAGCGGGCGGGCTGTCCTGTGCCGGATTACATCAAGCATTTCCGCAAGCTGCAAAGGTGAGAGAGTCGGTGATTTGACCCCGACAGGTTAAGGGGGTTTGGAAGGCGGGCCAGCTGGGCTTCGCTCCTCTTACTGCTGGTGCGATCTAGGCGTAGAGGGGAACCGGAGCATGCAGAGTTCTGCTCTTCAAACTAGTTTCGCTGTGCCTGTTTGGAAACGCAGTCCCAAACCAGGCTTTGCCATTTCAGGGACCACAACACACGATAATTAGTCGCAAACAGGAAAGGGAAGAAGAGAGCGAAGGGAGGGAGAGTGTGTGGCTCGCTTCCGGTTATCTGTGCTTTAGACTTGCGTTGTGGTAGCCAAACCCTTTTTAAAAGGTGTTTTTTGCTTTCCATCCCATTGAAACGAGCTTATCTGTCTGCCCCTTCCCGTGTTGTTTGCAGCAAACAAAAGAAGAAGCTGATCAAGAAGCCGCTGGAAAGGGAACACATCGTTACGTCTCCTCAGTACTTGAAGAGGATAGCCAAGAGGAAAAAGTAAGAGGAAAATTCTGCATCTGGAGCACCTAAGGAAAAAGCTGCATTTTTATCTGATTCCATAGGAAGGGATGTGGGGGGAGCATCGATTACCCCTCTTGATTGACGTAAGAAGCTGCCTCTTATGAGTCAGACTTTTGATCCATCTAGCTCAGGATCATTTAAAAAAAATACGATCTGACTTATGTCTCTGAGTTTTCAGGCAGAAGACTTCCGAGCCCTGCCTCAGACCTTCTGCAGATAAAACTCTTCTCAGTACTTGTATAAGTGAGAACATGTAGTCAAAATGTTTTGCACTTACCATTCTGGGAAACTGGCCTTTTTGGGTAGATATGGCTTCAGAAAAAGAGCTTGTCTTCCTCCTTGCTAATCTCTTAAATCTGTTTTGGAGGCTGCAGAGATGGCGATTACAA